TTTAGAGAGAGAAAGATATAGATGATGAGGAATTCAGAAGGTTTGTTAGAACTGTCCTGTGTAAGTAACTTCTTTTGATTTTGAGTATCGAGTTGTATATTAGAATACAAGTTGAACGATTGAAATAAAATCTGTGTTTTACAAGGTTTGTATCATTTCCTCAGTTTTATACACATAGACCTGAGATGATTAAAGTGATTGTTTACATTTATGCGCACCATAGATGTGTAGATTTTGTAAAGTATCTATGTTCCTTGTGTTTTATTTATAGCGTAACATTATTAAGACAACCGAATGAAATTAAAAATTTAGTGTATATCATATTTAACTGAGTTTTGTTCAGAAGACAGACAGAGTTTTGTTCAATACACATAACAGGCTTGTTCCCGCTAGCTAGTGTTTATTGATTCTTTTCTCTACAATCTTTTATCTTTTCCTTTTGAAAGTGTTTAATAAGTAATTTTTTGAAAGTTAAATATTTCAAACTAGATTATATTGTACAAAATAAGGAGCTATATATCTCTTCCAATGTGTACCTTAAAATGCTATTATTTTCAAAATTGACTTTTATCATTCTTAATATATAGAATGTAGTTTTCTTGAAAAATTACTACGATCAAATAATTCAGTATTTATGAGTTTATAATTGACTATCAATTCCCAAATTCATAGTTAGGTTTATCCTCTGTGGCAGTACTTATTTTCCTATACTTTGACTAAAATTGAAGTGTTGAGCATATATATCTTAATCAATATTTTCTCATCTTGTTCATAAACAACAAATGCATCTGGGTTCTTTTATGTTCGTCTAATGATTTCTCTTTCTTTTTTAATTCCTTATGCATCAATTTCCTGTGATATGTTCATCATTTACATTATTTCACTTATTTTTAGGCTACTGTACTAGAAGAAATGCCACCATTCCCAGAACGTCATTCTAGTATTTTAGCTAAACTTAAAGCTAAAAATCCTAATACTGATGGTACAATATCAAAATCAGAAGTGGTTGGAGATAGTTATGCTGTGAATTCATCTAAAGTTAGTTTTTCAATTGTTTTATTATCTTGTATTTTTTATGTGTGTATTGTCAGTAATTTGTTTTGTTTTTATTCTTTCATTTTACTTCCATTGGGATGATAAATACATTCCACATTTACCGAGTTATGGTTGATTTGTTGATTTTGACTCCAATCGTGGTACTATTTTGGAATAATGGAATAATTCAGTCTTTTTCATTACCTGAAACTAACAACAAACAAACCAGATCGTAACCATTATTCAACATAATATCAACAATTCAGTTGATTTTCCTTTAAAATTGAGGTTTTTTCTCAAAGGTCACAACATCGTTTTTATTCTGGAATAGTATTGATCCTTAATATCTGTAACTGTTTTAGGCAGTGTACATTTAGTAACCGGTGGTTGTAAACCTTGAATGCCATGGTTCAAAATCGTTTGCATTGACGCAGGTGCATCCATTATTTGTGTTCTCTGAAATTATAATCCTCTGAATTCCTCATCACTTTTATCTTTCTCTTTTCAAATTTATTTCATTGAATTATATTTCCTGAATAATATCTTCAAACCATAATCCTTTTGATTATCGCTAAAACGTCTATCGGATTTGAAATGACAATTGCATCTCTGTGCCGCCATGGTATGGCAAGTTGAACTGATATACGTACATATGTACAAAGTTCTACGTTATAGTTGACTATACATTCACTAAGCCTTTATTTTCAGCTAAAATTATAAACACAACACTAACCTTTTACTCATTGATTTTAATACATACAAAATTACAAAATTGGCAACATTTAATTATATGTAGGTTAAATAAACATAAAATCAATCAGTTAATCAACAGCAACGTGGAACGTCATACGTATGTACATCAGTTCAAGTTGCCATGCTACATTAGCACACAAATGCAATTATCAATTCAAATCCCATAGTGAAATAAACTTAAAATAAAAAGATAAAAGTGATGAGGAATTCAGAAGGTTAGAATTTGATAGAACACAAAGAATGAATGCACCTGCACCATTTCAGACGGTTTTGAGCTATATCATTTAAGGTCTCTAACCATCGATTACTATCATCTCGCCGACCCCAACCAGGTAGTCGACAATTACCGACATGGCTAAGTCCACTCGTCAATGACTTCATGGATTTCTGCCATGTTTTGGTTTGGCCGCCTCTAACTTTCTTCCAACCTATTCCTACACTACAAAACAAGGCTCGACGAGGCAGTCGGTGGTTAGGCATTCGTAACACATGTCCCAACCACTTCAACTGATAAAATTTCATTACTTCATCTATTGACCTGCCATTCCTACCTAGCACCCGTTTCCTAACAACAGCATTACTTACTCGATTGTCCCAAGATAAACGAGCAAATAAACATAAAATCTTCACTTCTTGGTTGTGTATCTACATTGTCATTGGTACATGATGAATAAGTTAGCAATTTACATATATTACCAACCGTTGAGCATTTGTTTTTCTTCTCTCTCTGTCTCTCTCTTAAAGTTTTCAATCTAAACTCTAGACACGACTAAAATCTAGTGAAAATGCTAATTCTGATACTGGCTGGCTAGTAAATCTTGTTTACTTGAATCGCTTAATAATCAATAAATTATGCATCCATAATTTATTTATTTTTTTTCTAACAAATTATATAATTTTGCGTATGAATTTCTTAATAATAAATTAAATACTTCGAATCATCACACATACAATAACTACCCTATTCTTTATCTGATGATTGAAATATCATAGTAATAATAATAATTATCATCATATAGTATGATTTTGTGATTTGGAAACATTGCAAAATCATAACATATTGATATAGATTTGTGATACAGACGCTAGGTAGCTATTTGAAATTCTACGGATTGACCAAATGCAGATATTCTAAAACGACCTTAAATACTATTCCCAAATCTCCTATATATATCAGAACACAACACCATTAGATGAAGTTGTTTAGGGGGTAAAGTACAGTAGAGAGAAAGGCAGGAAGGAATGAAATGAATAGCTTTACAGATAATGCGTATTTATACATTTAGGTTGAATACAGGAAAGAGTATCGAAGTCTGTAACATTCACAGTTAAGACGACCAATAGGAAACAACATTGGAGTACATGACGTTGATATCTAGGACGATCACAAAACTGACCAGTAGAAATTGACCAATAATTCTGTTAGGATATAAGATGAATATCCTAACAATCTTCAAACATACATTTACCTCATCGATTCATTTGTTTGTACTTTAAGTGATCACAAATCTAATGGTCATATTAGGGAAAAAAATTCTCTTCATTGAATGAATCCATGTTAAAGAATGCGTAAAGATTATTCATAATAATTACTATCAAATAGGAATGATTGTTCTGTTCAGATGTTTACATTCTTGGTCGGATGTTCACTTAACTTATTAATTTCTGTTTAACTAAATAGTATCCAGTTGTTAATTATTTATCCATTGTGTGTAGCATAGCGTCTGCCTTCATCTAAATATTTTTTGCACACTTGAACGTTGTTCAGCTTAAACAAATGTATATATATATATATATATTTCAAAGTAAACTGAGTTAAAAGAAAAAGAGGTAGTTTTCATCACTGACTCATATCAACTGTAAAGAATCACTGAAGATTAGAGGTCACTAAGCAGAGAGCTTGGTTTTCTTATTTTAAAACATTTAGCATTTTATTCGCACTGCATTGATCTCACTTTCACAGTACTTATGATTGTAATAGACAAAATTAGCCTATTCGGAGTTGGTAAGTGTAGACTACCTGGTTGGAGCCCGTGAGATGATAGTAATCGATGGTTAGAGACCCTGAATGACATGGCTCAAAATCGTTTGCAATGGCGTAGGTGCATTCATTCTTTGTGTTCTCTCAAATCCTAACCTTCTGAATTCCTCATCACTTTATCTTTTTAAGTTTATTTCACTAGATTCTACTTCTTGAATAATATCTTCGAACCCTAATCTCTCCGATTACTGCTAATACCTTTACTACCTCTACTACTATGGGATTTGAATTGACAATTTCATCTGTCTGTGCTAATGTGGTATGACAACTTGAACTGATGTACGTATGCACGAAGCTCTACGTTATGAATGTCTGACTGACTGTTTTGGGGGTTTGGCAAAAATCAATGGTAGTATTTTAATCTTAAAATTTTTGTTAATACGAAGATTACATGTAATGTTAAAGAAGTGTTTATAGAAAGTCAACATCAGTAAGTCAATAAATTCATTTTCACAGTTCTGTACCTTTCAAGTATGAAAGAAAGCATGACGAAGTGTTTTACACATCATATCAAACTTATCTTCTCTGATGATACTAGTGATAGAGAGTGAAGTAGTCGAACGTGTAGACCACCTCACTTATCTTGGGAGTCTCATCAGTGCCGATGGCCTGGTGACTGATGAAATCTCAGCACGGAAACAGAAGGCTCGATTGGCTTTTACCAACCTGCGTCACTTATGGCGTAGGCGAGATATCCGTTTGCTAATCAAAGGACGAGTGTACTGCATCATATGGTTCGCTCCGTCCTTACTTTATGGCTGTGAAACATGGCCAGTGAGAGTAGAAGATACTCGTCAGGTTACTGGTTTTCGATCATAGCTGTCTTCGAAGCATTGCTCGTATATCGTAGGACACCCGAGTGAGCACGCTGTTATTAGGATCACGGGTGTTAGGTAAGAATGGCAGATCAGTCGATGAAGTGGTGAAACTTCATCAGTTGAGGTGGTCGGGACCATGTGTTGCGTATGCCAACCACCGACTGCCTCGTCGAGCCTTGTTTTGTAGTGTGGGAATAGGTTGGAAGAAAGCTAGGGGCGGACAAACCAAAACATGGCAGAAATCCATAAAGTCATTGACTAGTGGACTGAGCCATGTCGGTAATTGTCGACTACCTGGTTGGGGTCCGCGAGATGATAATAATCGATGGTTAGAGACGTTGAATGACATGGCTCAAAATCGTTCGCAATGGCGCCGGTGCATTTATTCTCTGTGTTCTCTCAAATGCTAATCTTCAGGATTCCTCAACCCCCTAGTTTTGACTCTCTAAACCTTTCTCACTGAATCATACTTCTTGAATAATATCTTCTAATCCTAACCTCTCCGATTACTTCTAATACCTTTACTACCTCTTCTACTATTGGATTTGAATTGACAATTATATCTCTGTGCTGATGTGGTATGGCAACATGAACTGATGTACTTATGTACAAAGTTCTACGTTGCATCTGACTGACTGACTGATTAACGAAGATGTAGGCGCTACTCACAGCTTACACAGCATGAACGTGTATCAGTCAACATTTGTCAACAAACAAATTATCCACGCTAGTCAATCAGCTGTAACTTACGTACATCAGTTCAAGTCGCCATACCACATAAGCACAGAGAGATGGAATTGTCAGTTCAAATTAAAAACTAATTGAAAGTTAGATAAAAAAAATGTGCAGATCAAGTTCAGAGAATAAAACTTATTAATCACACCCTATTTATGTTACAAAAACAGGAAATCGATCTTATCCGAAGGTGGATTTCAGTGTGATATGTACCAGAGTAAACTAGTACAATAATTAGGACGAATTTACACTGGAAACTATGAATGAACAATTGCTAGTTATAAATACACCTACTTCTCACGGTCATAAAACAATGTCTGACCTGCAATTGTGAAGATTTTTTATGATTTGTTTTCTTATCTACAAAAATACATCTTTCATATTTAACCATGCAAAAATTATGCTAGAAACATGACTGAATAATTTATTTTGAATTATTGAGCTTTAGGTTAAATTGTTTAATAAGATGATAATTCAGACGGTAGAAAAATTCACCAAGAATACTTATATAGGAACAAACTTATAATAACGGATTTTCAACCAAGTTCTTTGCCGATCAGAAAAAAACATTGTGAATGAGCAGTTTATGGAAAAGAAAACAGTATTATTACAAAGTGTAAATGGATTTATTTTTTTTAGTGCTTCTATGAGAAGCTTTTGCAGGTTACTTTGATTTTTAAATGAATTAGTATATATATATACATATATCACATTCTCCATTCTGTAATTTCGTCTGCATACTTACTCTCTATCATTTACAAAGATCCGCAATTTATCGATCGAAGAGTGAAATTATAATTTAACCATTTACTATGTCTCATTTGCTTATTCTCACCTACTTTTTTTTATATCAATTCCTTGGATATTCCTATAAATTAGATTATTTACGACTTTTATTTAAGTCAATCATATGAAACTAGCTAGCTAGTTGTGTTTCATATCTACTAATCGCATTATCTAAGTTTTTGTTTTTTCATGATTATTTGCTAGTGAATGTTTTAATGTTTGGATTTAAATTAATCTGATTTGAATATCAACTTATCATAGGAGAGTAGTAGTAGTAGTAGTAGTAGTAGTAGTAGTAGTAGTAGTAGTAAAGTGTGTTTAAATACATATGTGACTTTTCTTTATTTCGGCTAATATAAATTTCTGGTTGTAATTTAACACAGCGTAGTCAATTAGTCGACTTTACATTTTTTTTTCTCAGATTGGATGCAAAATGGAAGAATTCTCGTTGATATTGGTTTTAGTATTATTTGTACACACATTAACTCGATATTTCTCAGCGTCATTACATCGAGACTATTTCTATCCTTTTATTCCCTACCCCCCATTACTCAGAATAAGAAGCTTCGTTGATGATAAACCGTGTAGAGTTGAACATACACTTAAATTAGTCGATTTTATATGGGTTTCACTAAGCAGAATTTATGAAATGCCTAATTGTCGCTCAACACACAAGATATTGTTTCTTATGTGAACGAAATTCGACATTTTTGTTAGGGAACATGGAAAAGTCTACAAAAGCCTAGAAGCATTTCATCCATTTAGCTTTTAATCGAACCTTCACAGAAACATCTGGAAAACGCTCAGTCACATGCCACATTTTGATTGAATATTTAACCATATTTCTGCTATATTTGGTATGGTTCTCGTACCTTTCGGAAGCCCAAGGTCACGAGTAACTACAAAAACTGTCATTTTTCCGTACGTAAATTAACGTTGGTGTAAAACGTTCTTTTCGTACGTTTCACCCCTTTCTCTCGTGTTTATGTTGCGGTGTAAATTTAGTCTGAGGTTATTAGAAGACGATAGGGAGTCAGATCTTATGTTCATTTAGCAGATCTATCATTTTTTCTACTCCCCCTCCCTTCTTTTCTAATCCAGATCAGCCATGATAACAATCATGATGTTAACCGTGAAGCAGATTTACTCAATTTCGGCAATCCTGGTACTGTGTACAATGATGTCCAGTCCAAACCAAACGGCTCATCTAGTCTATTAGTTGATTTAATGGGAAATGGTTTCACGTCTTCAGATACGAACAATTTACTTCATGCTAGTGGTGATCAGTACATGAATCGTAAAGAATTTACAAAGTATGTTTATGAGTTTATATATTTATGGTATACATTTTTCTGATGACTAATCAATAGAGTAGTTCACTAATATTATACACTTTTGAAGAGCGTATACTTATTATTCAATGACTGACCAGTTTCATTCAACGGCAAAAGAAACGGAAAATATGTCTTTATTTATGAAGATGTATAGTCGGAGGAAAATTATTCTTTAATCTAAACTAGGTCATTATACACTATCTTTTCTAACCCCCTTAGCCGGCTAAGGAAACATTTTCACCAGTTTGGTATATGTGAAACCCTATAGGAGGTTGCTAATGCAGCTGCAGGAGAATGATATATTCTGTAGTTATTTTTGGAAGAGTCGGGTTGTGTTTTAATTTTAATTGTTGTAGCTTTGTTTCACCAATTAATTCTGCCAATGTGATAGTCGTATAACACGGCTCATGAAGCAGGTCTGTGTGCATTAGACGCTACTTACTGCCGAACATTGTTCCTCAGCTAACATATAATGTATTGCATTGAACTACATTCAACGAAGATCTGCTGATTATGTTACTGAACTTGTGTTTTTTTTATGCCACTGGTTTATATGATACTCTTTCGTCATTTATTCATTTCTGTCTTGAGAGTATGAACATTTCTATACATTTTACAAAGTAAAATACGGAGTTTAGCTCGTTACGCATGTGAAGACTGAGGCAGGCGAGGAAGATTGTATTATGCAAATTTACAACTCTGAGTCAATTAAAAACGAAAACATTTACATTGAATACTCTATTTGCACACCATCTTTGAGTCGTGGACTTCCAACGCTCCCATCCTTCTTCATTCTGTTGTTGCTTCCTTTCTTCCTGTGTTTCTTTAGAACGACAGCCGCTGTGGTGTAGGCAAAACCAGCTGTTCCGGCGCTACCAGTCTTAGAGCAAGTAGCAGACAACTATTTTCACTTTTTAAAAAGTTGTAGGCTGGTTTTAATTTGTATTTTCAAATTGATCAATGGTCATTTTGTGGTCTCATTTCTATTTAACTGTTTCCTATCCTTTTTATCAAAGTTTTATTATTCTCTCATGCTTATCATCTTTCTGTTTATATTTGTAATTGTACTTTTTCGTCCTGTTAGCAAAGTTAATGAAAACTAACCAGTTATTCACTTCAATTCTCAAATTATCATTTGTACAACCTGTTCACAAAACTAATATCAATCCTATGTTTTGGCTTTTCCATGTTTTGATGTGACCTTAGTTGATCGATATCTCAAATAAGGGTTTCAATAGACAAAAATATTATCAGGTTTTTAAAAGACCATATTTCAATTATCACATTTCTATCAAAAACTGATGTAATGTAACGCTAAATGCAAAATAACCAGATCATAATTTTAGGTGGTTAGAGGTAGTCGACAAGATTTCCTCTTGACCTTCCCCCATTCCTGGCATTTCAACGTAGCGCCTGCCATATCGTGATACATAAACTAGTGGCCACAATTCAACTTGATCGATAGGGTTCGAATCAACGATCAATCAGTTAATGAAGTCCAGAAAAACATGGCTTTGGTCACCACTCAATAATCAACAACAATTTCCATGATATTTTTTAATTTTGTAAAATTTTGAAAATTTTGTTTATGAAAAAGCTTTAAGCAAATTTAGTTCTGACATTTTTTAAGGAGATCACTTATATTTTGTTTTTTTTGACTAACTAGTGTAGTCAAAAAAACAAAATATAAGTGATCTCCTTAAAAAATGTCAGAACTAAATTTGCTTAAAGCTTTTTCATAAACAAAATTTTCAAAATTTTTACAAAATTAAAAAATATCATGGAAATTGTGTTGATTATTGAGTGGTGACCAAAGCCATGTTTTTCTGGACTTCATTAACTGATTGATTGATCGAACCCTATCGATCAAGTTGAATTGTGGCCACTAGTTTATGTATCACGATATGGCAGGCGCTACGTTGAAATGCCAGGAGATTGGGGAAGGTCAAGAGGAAATCTTGTCGACTACCTCTAACCACCTAAAATTATGATCTGGTTATTTTGCATTTAGCGTTACATTACATCAGTTTTTGATAGAAATGTGATAATTGAAAATATGGTCTTTTAAAAACCTGATAATTATTTTTGTCTATTGAAACCCTTATTTGAGATATCGATCAACTAAGGTCACATCAAAACATGGAAAAGCCAAAACATAGATTATATTAGTTTTGTGAACAGGTTGTACAAATGATAATTTGAGAATTGAGTGAATAACTGGTTAGTTTTCATTAACTTTGCTAACAGGACGAAAAAGTACAATTACAAATATAAACAGAAAGCTGATAAGCATGAGAGAATAATAAAACTTTGATAAAAAGGATAGGAAACAGTTAAATAGAAATGAGACCACAGAATGACCATTGATCAATTTGAAAATACAAAATAAAACTAGCCTACAACTTCTTAAAAAGTGAAAATAGTTGTCTGCTACTTGCTTTAAGACTGATAGCGCCGGAACAGTTGGTTTTGTCTACACCATAGCGGCCGTCGTTGTAAAGAAACACAGGAAGGAAAGGAAGCAACAACAGGAATGGAAGAAGGATGGAGCGTTGGAAGTCACGACTCAAAGATGGTGTGCAAATAGAGTATTCAATGTAATGTTTTCGTTTTTAATTGACTCAGAGTGTAAATTTGCATAATACAATCTTCCTCGCCTGCCTCAGTCTTCACATGCGTAACGAGCTAAACTCCGTATTTTACTTTGTAAAATGTATAGAAATGTTCATACTCTCAAGACAGAAATGAATAAATGACGAAAGAGTATCATATAAACCAGTGGCATAAAAAAAACACAAGTTCAGTAACATAATCAGCAGATCTTCGTTGAATGTAGTTCAATGCAATACATTATATGTTAGCTGAGGAACAAATGTTCGGCAGTAAGTAGCGTCTAATGCACACAGACCTGCTTCATGACCGTGTTATACGACTATCACATTTGGCAGAAAATTATTGGTGAAACAAAGCTACAACAATTAAAAATTAAAACACAACCCGACTCTTCAAAAATAACTACAGAATATATCATTCTCCTGCAACTGAATTAGCAACGTCATATAGGGTTTTAAATATACCAAACTTGTAAAAATCTCTTTTTAGACGGCTAAGCTGGTTAGAAAAGATAGTGTATAATGACCTAGTTTAGATTAAAGAATAATTTTCCTACGACTATACATCTTCATAAATAAAGACATATTTTCCGTTTCTTTTGCCGTTGAATGAAACCGGCTAGTTATTGAATAATAAGTATACGCTCCTCAAAAGTGTATAATATTAGTGAACTACTCTATTGATTAGTCATCAGAAAAATGTATACCATAAATATATAAATTCATAAACATACTTTGTAAATTCTTTACGATTCATGTATTGATCAACACTAGCATGAAGTAAATTGTTCGTATCTGAAGACGTGAAACCATTTCCCATTAAATCAACTAATAGACTAGATGAGCCATTTGGTTTGGACTGGACATCATTGTACACAGTACCAGGGTTGCCGAAATTGAGTAAATCTGCTTCACGGTTAACATCATGATTGTTATCATGACTGATCTAGATTAGAAAAAAAGGAAGGGGGAGTAGAAAAAATAATAAATCTGCTAAATGAACACAAGATCTGATTCCCTATCCTCTCTTAATAACCGCAGACTAAATTTACACCGCAATATAAACACGAGAGAAAGGGTGAAACGTACGAAAAGAACGTTTTACACCAACGTTAATTTACGTACGGAAAAATGACAGTTTTTGTAGTTACTCGTGACCTTGGGCTTCCGAAAGGTACGAGAACCATACCAAATATAGCAGAAATATGGTTAAATATTCAATCAAAAATGTGGCATGTGACTGAGCGTTTTCCAGATGTTTCTGTGAAGGTTCGATTAAAAGCTAAATGGATGAAATGCTTCTAGGCTTTTGTAGACTTTTCCATGTTCCCTAACAAAAATGTCGAATTTCGTTCACATAAGAAACAATATCTTGTGTGTTGAGCGACAATTAGGCATTTCATAAATTCTGCTTAGTGAAACCCATATAAAATCGACTAATTTAAGTGTATGTTCAACTCTACACGGTTTATCATCAACGAAGCTTCTTATTCTGAGTAATGGGGGGTAGGGAATAAAAGGATAGAAATAGTCTCGATGTAATGACGCTGAGAAATATCGAGTTAATGTGTGTACAAATAATACTAAAACCAATATCAACGAGAATTCTTCCATTTTGCATCCAATCTGAGAAAAAAAAATGTAAAGTCGACTAATTGACTACGCTGTGTTAAATTACAACCAGAAATTTATATTAGCCGAAATAAAGAAAAGTCACATATGTAATTTAAACACACTTTACTACTACTACTACTACTACTACTACTACTACTACTACTACTACTACTCTCCTATGATAAAGTTGATATTCAAATCAGATTAATTTAAATCCAAACATTAAAACATTCACTAGCAAATAATCATGAAAAAACAAAAACTTAGATAATGCGATTAGATATGAAACACAACTAGCTAGCTAGTTTCATATTGATTGACTTAAATAAAAGTCGTAAATAATCTAATTTTATGGAATATCAAGGAATTGATATAAAAAAAAGTAGGTGAGAATAAGCAAATGAGACATAGTAAATGGTTAAATTATAATTTCACTCTTCGATCGATAAATTGCGGATCTTTGGTAAAATGATAGAGAGTAAGTATGCAGACGAAATTAACAGAATGGAGAATGTGATATATGTATATATATATACTAATTTCATTTAAAAATCAAAGTAACCTGCAAAAGCTTCTCATAGAAGCACTAAAAAAAATAAAATCCATTTACACTTTGTAATAATACTGTTTTCTTTTCCATAAACTGCTCATTCACAAATGTTTTTTTTCTGATCGGCAAAGAACTGGTTGAAAATCCGTTATTATAAGTTTGTTCCTATATAAGTATTCTTGGTGAATTTTTCTACCGTCTGAATTATCATCTTATTAAACAATTTAACCTAAAGCTCAATAATTCAAAATAAATTATTCAGTCATGTTTCTAGCATAATTTTTGCATGGTTAAATATGAAAGATGTATTTTTGTAGATAAGAAAACAAATCATAAAAAATCTTCACAATTGCAGGTCAGACATTGTTTTATGACCGTGAGAAGTAGGTGTATTTATAACTAGCAATTGTTCATTCATAGTTTCCAGTGTAAATTCGTCCTAATTATTGTACTAGTTTACTCTGGTACATATCACACTGAAATCCACCTTCGGATAAGATCGATTTCCTGTTTTTGTAACATAAATAGGGTGTGATTAATAAGTTTTATTCTCTGAACTTGATCTGCACATTTTTTTTATCTAACTTTCAATTAGTTTTTAATTTGAACTGACAATTCCATCTCTCTGTGCTTATGTGGTATGGCGACTTGAACTGATGTACGTAAGTTACAGCTGATTGACTAGCGTGGATAATTTGTTTGTTGACAAATGTTGACTGATACACGTTCATGCTGTGTAAGCTGTGAGTAGCGCCTACATCTTCGTTAATCAGTCAGTCAGTCAGATGCAACGTAGAACTTTGTACATAAGTACATCAGTTCATGTTGCCATAGCACATCAGCACAGAGATAGTAATCGTCAATTCAAATCCAATAGTAGAAGAGGTAGTAAGGGAATAAGAAGTTATCGGAGAGGTTAGGATTAGAAGATACTATTCAAGAAATATGATTCAGTGAGAAAAGTTTAGAAAGTCAAAACTAGAGGGGTTGAAGAACATTTGAGAGAACACAGAGAATAAGTGCACCGGCGCCATTGCGAACGATTTTGAGCCATGTCATTCAAGGTCTCTAACCATCGATTATTATCATCTCGCGGACCCCAACCAGGTAGTCGACAATTACCGACATGGCTCAGTCCACTAGTCAATGACTTTATGGATTTCTGCCATGTTTTGGTTTGTCCGCCCCTAGCTTTCTTCCAACCTATTCCCACACTACAAAACAAGGCTCGACGAGGCAGTCGGTGGTTGGGCATACGCAACACATGTCCCGACCACCTCAACTGATGAAGTTTCACCACTTCATCGACTGATCTGCCATTCTTACCTAACACCCGATTCCTAATAACAGCGTTGCTCACTCGGGTGTCCCACGATATACGAGCAATGCTTCGAAGACAGCTATGATCGAAAACCAGTAACCTACGAATATCTTCTACTCTCACTGGCCATGTTTCACAGCCATAAAGTAAGACGGAGCGAACCACTGTGCAGTACACTCGTCCTTTAATCAGCAAACGGATATCTCGCCTACGCCATAAGTGACGCAGGTTGGCAAAAGCCAATCGAGCCTTCTGTATCCGTGCTGAGATTTCATCAGTCACCAGGCCATCGGCACTGATGAGACTCCCAAGATAAGTGAAGCGGTCTACACGTTCGACCACTTCACTCCCTATCACTAGTATCATCAGAGAAGATAAGTTTGATATGATGTGTAAAACACTTCGTCATGCTTTCTTTCATACTTGAAAGGTACAGAACTGTGAAAATGAATTTATTGACTTACTGATGTTGACTTTCTATAAACACTTCTTTAACATTACATGTAATCTTCGTATTAACAAAAATTTTAAGATTAAAATACTACCATTGATTTTTGCCAAACCCCCAAAACAGTCAGTCAGACATTCATAACGTAGAGCTTCGTGCATACGTACATCAGTTCAAGTTGCCATACCACATTAGCAGACCGGTGCAATTGTCGATTCAAATCCAATAGTAGTAGAGGTGGTAAAGGTATTAGCAGTAATCGGAGAGATTAGGGTTCCAAGATATTATTCAAGAAGTAGAATTTAGTGAAATAAACTTAAAAAGATAAAGTGATGAGGAATTCAGAAGGTTAGAATTTGAGAGAACACAAAGGATGAATGCATCTACGCCATTGCAAACGGTTTTGAGCCATGTCACTCAGGGTCTCCAACCATCGATTACTATCATCTCGCAGGCCCCAACCAGGTAGTCTACACTTACCAACTCCGAATAGGCTAATTTTGTCTATTACAATCATAAGTACTGTGAAAGTGAGATCAATGCAGTGCGAATAAAATGCTAAATGTTTTAAAATAAGAAAACCAAGCTCTCTGCTTAGTGACCTCTAATCTTCAGTGATTCTTTACAGTTGATATGAGTCAGTGATGAAAACTACCTCTTTTTCTTTTAACTCAGTTTACTTTGAAATATATATATATATATATACATTTGTTTAAGCTGAACAACGTTCAAGTGTGCAAAAAATATTTAGATGAAGGCAGACGCTATGCTACACACAATGGATAAATAATTAACAACTGGATACTATTTAGTTAAACAGAAATTAATAAGTTAAGTGAACATCCGACCAAGAATGTAAACATCTGAACAGAACAATCATTCCTATTTGATAGTAATTATTATGAATAATCTTTACGCATTCTTTAACATGGATTCATTCAATGAAGAGAATTTTTTTCCCTAATATGACCATTAGATTTGTGATCACTTAAAGTACAAAACAAATGAATCGATGAGGTAAATGTATGTTTGAATCTTGTTAGGATATTCATCCAATATCCTAAGAGAATTATTATTGATCAATTCCTACTGGTCAATTTCACGGTTGTCCTAGATACCAACGTCATGTACTCCAATGTTGTTTCCTATTGGTCGTCTTAACTGTCAATGCCACAAGCTTCGATACGCTTTCCTATTCGACCTAAATGTATAAATACGCATTCACTGTAAAGTTATTCCATTCCATTCCTTCCTGCCTTCATCTCTACTGTACTCGACCCTATAAACAACTTCATCTAACGGTGTTGTGTTCTGATATATAGGAGATTTGGGAATAGTATTTAGGGTCGTATTGGAATATTTGAATTTGGTCAATCCGTAGAATTTCAAATAGCTACCTAGCGTCTGTATCACAAATCTATATCAATATGTTATGATTTTGCAATGTTTCCAAATCACAAAATCATACTATATGATGATAATTATTATTATTACTATGATATTTCAATCATCAGATAAAGAATAGGGTAGTTATTGTATGTGTGATGATTCGAAGTATTTAATTTATTATTAAGAAATTCATACGCAAAATTATATAATTTGTTAGAAAAAAAAATAAATAAATTATGCATCCATAATTTATTGATTATTAAGCGATTCAAGTAAACAAGATTTACTAGCCAGCCAGTATCAGAATTAGCATTTTCACTAGATTTTAGTCGTGTCTAGAGTTTAGATTGAAAACTTTAAGAGAGAGACAGAGAGAGAAGAAAAACAAATGCTCAACGGTTGGTAATATATGTAAATTGCTAACTTATTCATCATGTACCAATGACAATGTAGATACACAACCAAGAAGTGAAGATTTTATGTTTATTTGCTCGTTTATCTTGGGACAATCGAGTAAGTAATGCTGTTGTTAGGAAACGGGTGCTAGGTAGGAATGGCAGGTCAATAGATGAAGTAATGAAATTTTATCAGTTGAAGTGGTTGGGACATGTGTTACGAATGCCTAACCACCGACTGCCTCGTCGAGCCTTGTTTTGTAGTGTAGGAATAGGTTGGAAGAAAGTTAGAGGCGGCCAAACCAAAACATGGCAGAAATCCATGAAGTCATTGACGAGTGGACTTAGCCATGTCGGTAATTGTCGACTACCTGGTTGGGGTCGGCGAGATGATAGTAATCGATGGTTAGAGACCTTAAATGATATAGCTCAAAACCGTCTGAAATGGTGCAGGTGCATTCATTCTTTGTGTTCTATCAAATTCTAACCTTCTGAATTCCTCATCACTTTTATCTTTTTATTTTAAGTTTATTTCACTATGGGATTTGAATTGATAATTGCATTTGTGTGCTAATGTAGCATGGCAACTTGAACTGATGTACATACGTATGACGTTCCACGTTGCTGTTGATTAACTGATTGATTTTATGTTTATTTAACCTACATATAATTAAATGTTGCCAATTTTTGTAATTTTGTATGTATTAAAATCAATGAGTAAAAGGTTAGTGTTGTGTTTATAATTTTAGCTGAAAATAAAGGCTTAGTGAATGTATAGTCAACTATAACGTAGAACTTTGTACATATGTACGTATATCAGTTCAACTTGCCATACCATGGCGGCACAGAGATGCAATTGTCATTTCAAATCCGATAGACGTTTTAGCGATAATCAAAAGGATTATGGTTTGAAGATATTATTCAGGAAATATAATTCAATGAAATAAATTTGAAAAAGAGAAAGATAAAAGTGATGAGGAATTCAGAGGATTATAATTTCAGAGAACACAAATAATGGATGCACCTGCGTCAATGCAAACGATTTTGAACCATGGCATTCAAGGTTTACAACCACCGGTTACTAAATGTACACTGCCTAAAACAGTTACAGATATTAAGGATCAATACTATTCCAGAATAAAAACGATGTTGTGACCTTTGAGAAAAAACCTCAATTTTAAAGGAAAATCAACTGAATTGTTGATATTATGTTGAATAATGGTTACGATCTGGTTTGTTTGTTGTTAGTTTCAGGTAATGAAAAAGACTGAATTATTCCATTATTCCAAAATAGTACCACGATTGGAGTCAAAATCAACAAATCAACCATAACTCGGTAAATGTGGAATGTATTTATCATCCCAATGGAAGTAAAATGAAAGAATAAAAACAAAACAAATTACTGACAATACACACATAAAAAATACAAGATAATAAAACAATTGAAAAACTAACTTTAGATGAATTCACAGCATAACTATCTCCAACCACTTCTGATTTTGATATTGTACCATCAGTATTAGGATTTTTAGCTTTAAGTTTAGCTAAAATACTAGAATGACGTTCTGGGAATGGTGGCATTTCTTCTAGTACAGTAGCCTAAAAATAAGTGAAATAATGTAAATGATGAACATATCACAGGAAATTGATGCATAAGGAATTAAAAAAGAAAGAGAAATCATTAGACGAACATAAAAGAACCCAGATGCATTTGTTGTTTATGAACAAGATGAGAAAATATTGATTAAGATATATATGCTCAACACTTCAATTTTAGTCAAAGTATAGGAAAATAAGTACTGCCACAGAGGATAAACCTAACTATGAATTTGGGAATTGATAGTCAATTATAAACTCATAAATACTGAATTATTTGATCGTAGTAATTTTTCAAGAAAACTACATTCTATATATTAAGAATGATAAAAGTCAATTTTGAAAATAATAGCATTTTAAGGTACACATTGGAAGAGATATATAGCTCCTTATTTTGTACAATATAATCTAGTTTGAAATATTTAACTTTCAAAAATTACTTATTAAACACTTTCAAAAGGAAAAGATAAAAGATTGTAGAGAAAAGAATCAATAAACACTAGCTAGCGGGAACAAGCCTGTTATGTGTATTGAACAAAACTCTGTCTGTCTTCTGAACAAAACTCAGTTAAATATGATATACACTAAATTTTTAATTTCATTCGGTTGTCTTAATAATGTTACGCTATAAATAAAACACAAGGAACATAGATACTTTACAAAATCTACACATCTATGGTGCGCATAAATGTAAACAATCACTTTAATCATCTCAGGTCTATGTGTATAAAACTGAGGAAATGATACAAACCTTGTAAAACACAGATTTTATTTCAATCGTTCAACTTGTATTCTAATATACAACTCGATACTCAAAATCAAAAGAAGGTACTTACACAGGACAGTTCTAACAAACCTTCTGAATTCCTCATCATCTATATCTTTCTCTCTCTAAATTTATCTCACTGAATTATACTTA